AGTTGTTTGCCCTGGAGATACACGTTTATTACGTTATATCTCGTTCGTAATAGATAATTACTTACACTATTCTCTCTTTAGCATCGGCTGATGTAAGCTGTTTAAATTATATTACTATTTCAATAAAACCTAATCTGTGAGTTGTATGGCTACATATATACATATACAACAATTATATGTATCATCCAAACAATTGTTTCATTTTAGTTGTTGCCACAAACTTATAATGGTTTAAAAAATCATTAAGAAACTTCTCCTTCCTCCATGACAGCGGAATCTTGATAACATAGACCGTCTTTTGAACATTTGCTACCTCCAACAAAAATAGTATCTTTATTGCTGTAGTTACGGTCAGTAGCACCACACTTGGCCCGGGATGGGATTACACCTTCGTGACAAATTGCGTTGTATGTTAAAATAGGTATTGCGATAGTACGTGGAAGAATTTCGACACGAGAGATAAGGCAAGGCGCGTATCAAACGGTGTCACTTGATAAGGCGTGAGGTGCTCTTTGTGGGAGACTTATAGACAGGTGTAAATCCGCTTGCGCTGCCAAATTTACTACGGATCATAGATTTCTTAACAATAAATAATAATTCACAATCAATGTTATCAAAGCAACCTCCACTAGAGACAATTGTTATGTGATCAGGACTGCATCACGACTATAAATCAAGTTTAAGACATTCCTTCGTATTATCGCGATGTTGGCCGGACATTTCATCGTTTACAAATCACTCAAACAGGCCGGTTTCAAAAGTCAAACTAATATGCAAATAAATTTACCATAGTTCTCTTAGCAGAAAGTTGACTGGATTCATTTGCTTTGAATATGTTCTACGACTATAGTGTTACAAAACTAAAGGTTGATCTTAAATGGGATGTAATCTCAAAAGTTTTATTTGTAAGCCTAGCTCAAGATTTCTAGTTGCAATCAACATCCCTCATTTGCTTTGAAAATATCTATAGTATTATAAGACTACGAAGGAAAACAAACACCAATAATAATGCGTCTGATAGGGTCGCTCGATCAAAGTTTCGAAGATGCGAGACGTCATGTCTCAGTGAAAGCAATTGCGCTGTCTCGCGGGGAGAAGTTTGAAAGCGGAGGAGGGCGAAGGAGTCCGCGAGAGGGTCGCGCGAATGTTGCGGGAGGGTCGCGGGAGGGCCGCGTCGGGGGCGCGCCGGGCTACGCCCCGCGGCCGTGAACCGACTCGCAAACTTCCCGTATTGTGTTTACATTGAACTTTGTTATGTGGGTTAAAGTTAAACCGGAGTTCAGCAGCGTGTGTGGCGCCGATCGCGAAGTTGAGTCGCAACTTTGCGCATCGATTTTCATCTTCTGTTTATCAAATGTTTTCAAGGTTTCAGAACTTTGGGATGTTATGATACGCATTGTTTGATTCATACGACACTTTTTATAATTTTTAATTTCCGAAGAGTTTAATGATTAGGTTTCAATTTCCTTATAAAAAATCACTTAAGTCAGTTATAGGTATTAAGATGCATCGAACATTTATTGTTTTAGAGGCATATTTGAATAGTTTGTAAAGAAAGTAGATGTAGGACCAAACAACTGTTGTGATATTTTATTACACAAAAAATACCTGATACACATTTTTATGTGTTAGCCGGATTCTAGGTGAGATTGTTGTGTCGGACACGTACAAGAGTCAAAATCAATATGAAATATATCTCTGATGTCGGACTTTGTATAATTATATTATATTTGTCACCCCTAACTTAGGGCAGGCTCCGAGCCCCTATCTGGGGACGTATAGTGAACTGATGATGATGATTTTGCGTTTCTTTCGTGATGTACATTTCCTAGAGAAATGTTTAAATTAAAGGTACTAAAAATGTGTGCCACACTTAGGCAATGCCTAGTGTGAGTATTACCAGATTAAATTATAATTGGCTTGAAAACAAAGAAAAATCTGTATCTGGTTTTCTAAATATCTCGTTTTATATATATTGTGTTTGATAAAAGTTTTTCATTATTGCGAGTTGTTAGTTACTACTATTAACATTTATTAAGGAAAGAACAGTCGAATTCAAAACAAAGGAATCCCAACTAAAATGTGTAAAGTAAGTAACAATGAAAAATTGACATTGGAATAATTAATTAAGTAGCAAAGAAGGAAAAGATGCAAAAATAGTTACAGAAGAAAATAACCGACAGGAAATTGATCGATGGCGAGTTCTATAACAATTCATATGTCATGGAGAGATTTCAAATTTAGCCATGAAATAAAGTGGCCGGCCATTTCAATGTATTCCCATCAGCTTCATACTTCACTTTTATCTCAAATCCATTAAAATCAATTTATACTATTCACTTTCATTCTCCTTACATTATTTTATGCAAGCTGACAATATCTAGGACATACTTCCTATAACTACAGGTACTTAAGCCTTTTAGTTAACTAACAAGTCAAAGCAGGGAATATAATCACACACCAAAATCTTTAACGCGTTGTTTTTTGAAATGAGACAGTTCAAAATCTCTACATACTCTGTCCATTACATCCACCTCGTTAGTTATTACTATTGCTTTTTCGACTCCCGTACTTTCTATTGCATAGTTTTTTTTTACAGATTTTAGATCACCTCCTGCGTCATCAGGAAGAGCGCCAGCTATCAGACTGGTATATGTAGGCGGTGAATGCGCAGCTCATTGTACTCGTACGTGTACACATTAATTAGTATTGTGTAGTTGTTGTAGTTGTGCAGGAGCCGAGCGTGCGCCCAAAATGAAGGCATGAGGTTTTGTTAGCCCGCGTGTGGTGCACACCTCATTGTTTTTTTACGAATGCGGGTTTTTCAATTAAGTATCTTTTAACTATGCTAGATTATTAAAAATAAAATGAAACGAAAAATTTTTTTTTTTAATAAATATATATTTTCAGGTAAGAAGAGTATACAGGGTCGAGGCGACACACACAGGTTTCGTTTGCACGCAATGCATTATTATAAATGTATGAGACACAATTAAATAGTAGATTATATACTGTACATATAGAACACTAATCATCGCAATCAGCCGTACTTATAAATTTATATTTTGAATTTACATTAAAAGGTTACGTTGTTGCATTTTGATGTAGTGTCAAATGTCATCTGTTAAATTGGCCCTAAATACAATAGTAGATGTTTTTATTCTATTTTGTGATTAACGTGTCAGTACATTAACAGACCACACTGACATAGCAATGATGTACGCACGCGGATAATCGACGATAGGGGCCGCACCTGAACCTATTTTTCGACTTTCTTATCGACTGCTTGATAATTTTTCACATAGAATTATTGAGGTCATTGATAACTCTTGTGACAAGCGATGAGTGCGAATGTTCTATGACAGGTTTATTTCTTTGGAATAAATAGTTAACCGTAAAAACAACTCTTGAGAACTAGAAGCGTCACGACAAGGGACTTAACCATTAAAGCAACTTATTTATAAACTTTTCTGAAATAGTATAACCAAGAAAATCATTTTGATTTGCCACCGACTTCTTAGACTTCCATTGTTAAACTTATCATACTTCGTATAATATTATAAATGCGACAGATTTGATTCTAGGATGTTTATTACTACGTATCTCAAAAAGGGCTTAACGAATCTCAACGAAATTTGGCACAGATGAAGAATATAATCTGGAAGAACACATAGGCTAGTTATAAAAACCAGCAATTTTGATAAGCACTAAAAGCTACGTGCGGGTATAAACTGAAAGCTAATCGAACAACTTATACTCTAAAATGTCTTAGTTGTCGTCTGTCCTTGTTTTCTTGATTAAATCATGTCATTGTTAATGGTTTATCATTGCAGGTGGGACAATTTAATTGGTCACATTTGATATCTATCAATTTTAGGTTTATTGTGAAGTAAGCTGCTTAAAAATATTTATTAAAGTAAATGAATCGATTTGGACTTCAAACACATTTATATGTGTAAATGGAATTCTTATCTATCTAAACATCCTTTATATTTAAAAAGAAAAACGCAACATTGTAACAACGTTCATGTAACAAGATTACAATAAACATTTAGTCTAAAGAAAATAGTAAGCAATTGTGCAGTTTTAACTTAACATAAATTCTTTATGACGGCCGTTACAAGGTTTTGAGAATGTGTCAAATGTGACCCATCAAAATGGATCACCTTATGAAACGTTGATTTTATTTTATCAAAAGAGGGGAAAACTAAATATTTTTGACATAATTCTGTTAGTCTAGAATACGGATAAGTTATGTGTGGCGCAGTGACGAGGCCATCGGGCCATCTAGTGTTGCGCTGCACAAAGCGGCGTGCAGCGCGCGGCATTACGCCCCACTCTTTATCTGAACGTTTTTTTACAGTTTATTTGTTTAAGGCGCCCGATAAAGATAAGTGGCAGGCGCCGTTATCGCGCTAAAAGACCTCGCTTCAGGAAATTTGCCTCTCATTCTTAATTATAGTAAATTTTAACTATGGTACAATTTTATTTACTAGATCTAAGTAGAGAATTGTAACTAACCGCGTTACTTGATTTTGTCTAATACTATATTTTCATTAAAGATCATTACTTTTTGTAGAGGTTTCACGTCGCACAAAAATTGTTGTTGTTTGTTGTTGAAAAAATGATCTTTGTTAATTTGTGTTACTTAACTATAGAGTTTATAAATAAATAAATCATCAATAGTGTACATTTTTTTTAATAATTTAAACCTGATTAAGTAATACTAAGAACAGATTGTCGAAAAGAAAAGTTTCAATGTTTTGAATATTTGCCATTAACGGAGTAAGTTAACTTTACTAATGTTATATTCATTAATCAAAAGTTTGACGCAGTCTGTACCTCGCCCGCCTTCACCGCCCACCCTCCTACAGTATTGCTGTGCTCTATTAATCTATACTCATAAGTTGTAAAACTATGGCTATGGTCTTGGTTTAGGTCTCTAAAAATAAACTCAAATCAGACTGGCAACACAAGATCATTCAGGTCAATATTGACAAATGGCTGACTTAATGTCACTTTCTGGACGAAATTGTATAAACATCGCGGTCCGTTTAATATACAAGCAATAAAAATGGATGCTATATGTCGACTGTGCAGTTCTACAAAATTTGTCAACAATTACATATTTGATGAAGAAAATGCACTGTTTTTAAAAATGTCATTATATTTACCATTTAAGGTATGAAGCAATAAAAACTGAGGAGGACTTTTTGAAAGTTTGTCCATATTTATAATTTATTTCATTTTGGTAGATACTGAAGAATGATCGCCTGCCTCAGAAGATTTGTGACAAATGTAGCTGCAAAGTTAACGACTTTTACCAGTTCTGTAACGAAGCAATCGAAGTGCAGTCCAAGTAAGTTTTGTTGTGATTTAGTTTTTAGTCAAATTGTAAACATTAATGACAATTATAGTAGTGCTTATATTTATTCCCTTTTCTCTCCTCGGTGATGTTCAGCTATTGGGGTGTTTAGTTTTGTAGTTTTTAGAGAAGCACATATTGTAGAAGACCTGACTCTTGCTCCTTAGCAAGTCCTGAGTCCTAACTCATAAATACCAGTGATGAATATAATGGATTTATTAAGTAAACAGTTACACCTCTAAGAGATATTTTAATATGTATCTATAATTTTTAAAATGATTATTTTATACTATAGTTATATTTTATAAAGCTGAAATAAAATTATTTCTAATCAAAAAAAATTGTCGTTCTTAATTATTAGATATCTGATTAATGTAAATAAATAAAATAAAAAACATTCTTAGTTTTGACCTTATTATTTTCTAAAACTAGAACTTCCTATGCCAAAATTTACCTTTCAAATGTGTTTTAGACCAGCTTAAAAAATGTATATAACACACAATTCTTCAAGTAAAGTGTTAACTGAATATTTCAGATTGCGCAGTATACTGATAGCATCAGGTATTCCATACGGCGATGGTGACAACTGCTCAGCAACAGAGGCTGAGTCATATTCCTCCACTCTCAATATAAAAGTCCTCCTAGAGCGAGAGACACAGACGGAGAGAGATGAAGCAACTAATGTGGCAGTTGACATCAAAGTGAAAGAAGAAAAAATTGAACCAAAACCTTCCTCACCGCAGCTGCCTGTCAAAACTGAAAATGATTTTTCAGACAGTGAGAGCTCGTTGTGCTCCGATGCTGTACTCTCTGATGCAAGCGATGACCTGTCACTGTTCAGTCTCAAAGAGATAAAGAGAAAAGAAAATGGTAACACACCAAAGAATGGTGAAGTACAAGAAAATAAAAGAGGTAGAAAGAGGAAGGGAAAGTTAAAAGACTTACAGATATTAATAAACTCCCTCAACTCAAACTCTGCTCTCACTGTGGTCACAAAAAACGATAGAAATATAATAGCGGAAGATGACAAGAGAAAGATAAAGACGGAGGAAATAAACACAGATGCGGGGAAGAAAAATAAAAGAAGTAAAAAAGGAGAGCAGCCGCAGGATGCGTACCAGTGCTGCATCTGCTTTGATAAGTTCTACACCAGATCTGACATCCTGCAGCATTACAAGTAACAATGTTTACAAATTCCTTAACTAAATTCTTACATACGATTGATTCCAATATGGTTGAAATGCAAACTTTGTGTAGGATGTACCAACGACGTCTCGCTTTTAACAACTACAGACTTACACGTGCATTGTGTCAGGTGTCACGCGAGCGCCGCGCCCCCCGGCCCCCCGCCCGCCGCGCCCCCGCCCCCGCCTCCCGCCGAGCCCCTCAAGTGTCCGCGCTGCAACAAGGTACGCCCACATACTTTGTGTTTCTCTACTTGACTTAATATATTATTATACTTCGTGTGCGATGGTGACGTGCAGACGCTGCAGGAGGGCGAGTGGACGGCGCACTGGCGGCGGCACTGGAGGCGCGACTGCCAGCCCTTCCGCTGCGGCCTCTGCGAGAAGACCTTCCGCGACACCTACCAGCTGTTCCGGCACGGTACGCGCCCGCATAGTGTTAGATGAGTGTCCCGGCGTGAATCGTTCACCCGAGTAGAGCGGTGGTTGGATGGTTGCAGGCGTGGCGCACGAGGCGGCGGGCGCGCACAAGGACCGGCCGGACGAGAGGTTCGTGTGCGACCTGTGCCCCGAGGGGTTCGTGTACCTGCGCTGCATGCTGGCACACCGCGCGCGCGCTCACCCCGAGGCGGGCGGCGCCGTGGCGCTGCGCTGCCGGCTCTGCGCGCGCCAGTTCGCGCACACCAACTCGCTGCGCCGCCATCTGCGCTCCCACACCGGCGAGCGCAACTTCCTCTGCAGCGTCTGCGGCAAGGCGCTCTCCTCCGCCGAGCACCTCAAGTACCACCTGCGCATCCACTCCGGCTACAAGCCCAACGTGTGCGGCGTCTGCGGCAAGGGCTTCGTCAAGAAGTGCAACCTGACGCTGCACGAGCGCGTGCACTCCGGCGAGAAGCCGCACGTCTGCCCGCACTGCGGCAAGGCCTTCTCCCAGCGCTCCACCCTCGTCATCCACGAGCGCTACCACAGCGGCGCGCGCCCCTACGTCTGCGCGCGCTGCGGCCGCGGCTTCGTCTCCCGCGGCCTCCTCACCATGCACGTCAAGAGCCGCTGCTACGCCCCCGACGACTGCCGCTAGACCCCCCGCTGCCTCCTCTCATCGTGCACGTCCAGAGCCGCTGCTACGCCCCCGACGACTGCCGTTAGACCCCCCGCCGCCTCCTCTCATCGTGCACGTGATCTGTAGTGTTGTGGTAGCGGCGCAGGCGGAGTTAGATTAGCGCCGGGGTAAGGTGAGCTGTGCTGCACATGCAACCTGACGCCGAGTGCGCACTCACACACACGAGGGAACGGAACCAGTGAGAAAGACAGACTTCTACAGCGTTTGTCGACATATTAAAAACCAATCCTTGTTATTTAGATTTAGTTTTTACAACAACATATCCCGCTCGAAGGACCAGAGAAATATGTTTGTTATTAAAACTTGTATCTCCGTGAGATACAAGCGATGGAAAATTACATACGTAAACTATTATCCAATTAGTTTATAGTTTTACTTGATTTTAGGAAATGTTCCGTCGTGAGGCATGACGACGGTTGAGGTTGTTTGTAAGTACGCGGCAGATTGCACTCAGAGACAATTACCATTGAATGTGTCGCACCGCACAAGTGTTGTCGTGTGTTAATCAAACTTAAATTATTGTAATTTAGGAAAGTTCCTAATTAATGTATACAAGTTTGACATTATACTGTCATTGTATTTGTAATTATAATATAATTTTTAAACAAATAATTTTAACAATATTTCCATAAATGTAACAGTGTATTTATTTATTGACTGCGAACTCATTATGATTATTTGAGTTGTTTGTGGTTGTTTGAGATGAACGTGTGAGTTAGTTATAAGTTCCAAGTGCCTCGAGTTGTGATACACTAGAGTAAGACATCGACACACCAACACGCGCCGCGCCGGCTTCTACAATTATTATTTATTTATTTTCGCTCCAACTGACATAGAATACGTTACAATAATATGTTTTTTTATTTATTATGATAAAGGAATTCATGTTTTTGTTTTTACAATGGAACTGACCTGATCCCTTCCACCTCCAATTTCATTCGTTGGCGAGAGGCCAACGGTTACACACGTGTATGTGTGTCCTGCATCGCTCGGACACTGCGCAGTGCGTACATGATATTAAAATACCTGCGTGTTGCAGAAAACTAAACGATTCTACGCACTGCGCTTACAATATGTTTAAAATTTTGTTAATAAATAATTATATGAACCATATACTAGTATCAGCAATTTTAAATTTCACAATATTAGTTGTATCGGCATATGGCATGTAAATTAATTTTCATTAAGTAAGTAATACGTCACTTTCCCACGAATATTTGAAACTTGTAAATATAGGCTATGTTACGATAGTACTATGTAAATAAGAAATTCTTTAATTTTTAATTAATTAAACATAAGATGATTCAATAAAACTTTTTTCCAACAAGCAACATATAAATGATGCAATGTTAACTATAATGAACAATGTTTGACAAACTGTTTTTTCTAATGTATATAATTTTCTGATGATATTTGTAATAGAAATAAATTTATTTACAACAAAACAATTCAACTGAACTCCGTTTGTGTTATTATTACAATGATCACGAAATATCGCACTGTTTATTTACAATTGTGTCAAACTATTGTATTGATTGAAACATTTAGAAAATATGTTTTTTTTTTCGTATGAAGATGTGTAGTTACAAGTTCCTGATAAATTGTTGGTATTAAGTTGTATTTTGCGGTAAAATGATTTATAAAGAACTTTTGATATTATATTTCATGTGACAAATGTTACATATCATTTCTATGGTAATGGCTGTTCGATTGATTTAAAAATTGTTTAAGATTTATGCGCAGAGTTGTGCACTGAACTGTCGATTGTGATTGATCACAATAAAGTGATATAAACAGAGAGTTCAATTATTTTTCATTCTATTCATCTGGAGGCGGTATAGAATACCTGTATAAAAATAATGTTGCTGCTCGGAACATCGTACGAGTGGATGCGGAGAACACAATTTAAGGTGTTGCGGAACATAATGGGATGCAGGAGGAGGTTATTGCGCAGCGCACAGGTCAGCCACCAATATGATTGATGAAAAGGTGAAGTAGTATTTTTAAGTAACATCTCGGCGACTATTGACTGATTGACTCAAGATCTATTGACGCTCCGCTCTCTCTCTCTATCTCTACATCCCGCCCCGCTCTCTCTCTACACTTAAAATTCTGTTTTGCGCAGCGACTCGCTCAAAGTTAAGACTCGTCAAGATATCGGAATACATTTATATATGTATTTGCATGTCTCGTTTTACCGTGGGTTTACACTGTTCTAAAATTGTGTCGATACACCACAAGAACGAGCGTTATGTTAACTTAAAAGTGGATAGGAGAATGTTGACTTCTGAACCGCGGTTTGTTTGCGCTTTGGTGATCGCGTTATCTCCTGAAGGTTCCACAAGTGGCGCGAACCCGCACCGTATCTCACTTTTATATTTTCAATTATGTTAAGTGTAAACAATATTATTTATTGCGATGTTTATATTTTAATTAAGAATTTAAACTTCATTCTGTGAAACGGCGATAGCGACAACATAACTATCAATATATGGTGGTGTTGTTTGTTACACGCAGGAGCAGAGGACATTGTACTAAATTGTATTACTTGGGTACTTTCCTTGTCTCAGTGAGGTAATGGGCCGTCATATATCAACAGGTCAGTGGTTGGCTCGTTTGCAGTTTAAACAGAAGCAGGTGCAGACGACGCATTCGCGTTACTGAATGCATGCGGTATTAATCGCATCGTGTGTCTGAAAGCAGTTATAGTTGTCGTTAAAGTTTAGTCGGCGCACGCGGCGCCTTGACTTGACATCGACGCGAGCTAGCTACTTGATTTTTTTTTGTTATTAGTATAAAAAACAACTATTCAATGCGTTATCTAGAGGCACGGTCATTAATACAATGATAAGGCAATGTTATGTAAGACATAACCACAATTGCGAAGCTACGATGTTGCAGATTTTAACAATTTATATAACCTCTAGAATAGTTAAATATCATCGGATGTTTATTCCTTTCCTTCTATTTAAAGTCGAACAAATATCTTATGAAAAAAGAAGTGACTATATAATGAGCACTCACGCACTTGATTACATGACGAGACAGGAATAGGTAAAAACCTGATAGTGAGACCATCAGGTTGTCAGTAGCTGACATCGGTGTGTCGATGTAATTTATGTACTAAGAAACGGGCTTTCTTTCTTGACGTTATTTTCCTCATCACAAATATGCACATGTGGTCCGAATTTTATTTAGAAGTAGTTTTTTTGTATATTTTTCGGTTCACTAAGAGGGTAGGGGAGGGGACAGTTGCAGCGGAAATCTTTCCCGCTGGAGGTACCTTGTCTGATGGAGAAGGATGTGTGTTGATATCTGGTGCGCCGTCGGCTGTCGGCTGTCGGCTGTCGGCTGTCGGCTGTCGGCCGGTGTGAGGTCAGCTGCGAGGGCCGGCGGCCGCGCCTCCGCCGCGTCAGTCTGCGCGCAGCCGCCGCCTACACTGTACGTTTGTTCGCGCTCTCTTCTACAAGACTTACAAGCCGGCCTTGGCGCTATTTCGACTAGTTTGCGCGCTCCACTCTACCTAGCTCACGTGTAAGTTTACATTTGTTTTGACCAATGATGATGATGATGGAGGTCAAAAAATATTTTGTATATTACCTTAAGATTGAATTAATTATTCTATAGCTATTACTTAAAAACAAACTAACAGTTACAACTACTTATAACATTCATATAATAAATATGGAGATGAGACAAACATAAAATTAAAATATTAATTTTATTTATTAAGTGTTATGTTAAACAATCGCCCGGTATAACGACAAAAAATCGTTTTTAACCGCCAAAAATTATAGTTTATTTTTGAGATTGAATTCCTTTTTTAGTTTGAAACAACCAATAATTTAATTACTATTCTTCTGACCTAAATATATCAAATTAGTCCAAAAAAATTGCTAACCAGATCAAAACATCCAAAACCGCATTGTGATTCAAAATGCCATCCAAATATAATCTGCTATTTATTTAAGTTTTTTTTACCCAAAAATTATAAATCTTTATCTGATAGTTTTTTGCGTTGATTATAAGAAAAAATATTTTTTAAAATTTTAGTTCTTTTGTCCACAAATCTAATTCCTAAAGATCGATCCACAGTACGGTAAAATATTAACTAATATCTGAAATTCTGATCCTGGAATATCATTTATTCATACTTGTTGTACAAACAACAAATCAACATGTGCACGATGACAGGAACTGTTTTAGTTTTAAAGCCTTTTACAGTTGTAAGAATTTAGCGGAATAAAGTTGTTTTATGTAAAGTATATTTTTGTTTTACAAGATTTTAAGTTGTATAATATGTTTGCAGAACATTGACCACACTCAAACATCTGCTGACGTGTTTACAAATTATCTGTTAGTTTGATGAAATAGTTAATTCCATATCTGAATATAATCCGTTCAAATTAAATGGACAAAAGTGTATCATTCGATTCAATACATTTTCATACTAACTGTAAACTGATTGTTTACTTTAGCTACAGTACGAAGGGCTAGCTCGCTGGTTGGTGCGGTGCACGCAAAGAACTTGAAGTCATATTTTTTTGTCTTTAACACATAATATTTCTCTTTTTGAACTTTTGAAGCATTCGTCGAGGGAATTATGTTTTTTCCTACTTTATAATTTACTTTATGAATTGCGCGATTATTTTCTTAAATTGCTTCATAATAATAATTGAAGAGTGACAAATGTGAAAACAGTAAAATATATGATGACCCCGAGAGCCGGTGTTATATGTCAATAAACATAAAAATGATAAATATTATCAGAGCCACTTGTTTAGCGGCGAAGGTTACGCTTATTTATTACAGTTAATTAAATTGGTGGCTAGCTAGCTACCCGCCCCTACGTCTCTCGGTTCCATACTCGAGAGATTAGTATGAAAATTCGATTCATTGTATACCGATCATATTACCGAAAGACAAAAAGTCTTATGGTGTTCTGATTTGTGAAAATCGTAAAATAAATGGACGTTGCCTTGTTCTATGGAGAAATCCAATGTGCAGGCGCAGTTTGCGTTTCTTAGCGGCCGGCGAGTACGTAAATAAAGGCATAAAGCGCGGTGAGTGCTGCGGACAGTGGAGCCGCCACACCTCCTCCGCCCGCTGACTACATACTCCAGCTTTTCATTTATTTTCTCAGTGTAACTTGCGCTCACGCCCAGTCTCAGTAAACTGTCGCCGTGACGCGGGAACGCGGGAGTGCTAACGACGTAAACTTTTTAATTTTGGCACGCTCCGCTCTGCAGCTCTAAATATTTTAGTTTCCAATCTATTTTCGCAGTTCACATCAGATAGTATCGGATAGAATAACGCGCTGCAAAAATCAGAGAGTATTATTTGTTGAATCATTTTGGAGATTTGTTTTGCAATGAGTACGTTTACTTCGTGTAAACATCTAACTGGTGATAATTTATTCAAATTGTCGTAAGAATACGTAATGTGATATTTGCACAAACGACAAGCGCGCGGCGGCGTCGCGTCGCGTCGCGTCGCGTTGAGTCGCCCGAGTAATGTGTTGTGAGGCACTCACAACCGGATTTTGGTTGTATAAATATCAAATTCATTTTCTGATATATTTTATGATCTTTGGAATGTTATTTGACATTATTAAATTTGATCAACTAAATCGCTCGATGAAAGAGTTTTGCAAGTGATACTTTGTCCGGTTGTTGTGAATCAGTTGAGGCGGTGGGGGTCGGGAAAGGCGCGGACATGGTGGATATGCGTATTCAATGGACGCAATAAATCTCAATAA